GTGAAATTACATTCATGCAAGGATTATTTATTAATATTATCAATATAAAGTGTGTTCAATAAAGTACTGTAAGTTTAACCAGGATTCAGTATTCTTATTTGCGTGCCCGGATAATAAGTGGAAGAATGAAGAAGCCTTAGTCGGCATCCTGAAATATCAACATAACATAAGTAACCATACTACTGACATAACCCACAGCATAAGAAATAAGCTCCCACGCCATGTCAGAGTAGATGTGTTACAAATAGCTGACAAACAAGTAGTAGGTGAATTCACCAACAAGAAGATTAACTCACCAACAAGTAGGTTAACTCACCAACAAATTGTAGGTTAACTTACCAACAATTAATAGGTTAACCCACCAACCAGTTGTATTTTAACTCACCAACAAGTATTAGGTTAACCCACCAACAAGTCGTAGGTTAAATTATGAACCAGCACGTAGATTTACTCACCAACAAATAGGTAACTCACCAGCACGTAGGTTAACTCACCAACAAGAAGGTTTACTCACCAGCACGTAGGTTAACTCACCAACAAGTAGTAGGATAACTGACCAACAAGTAGTAGGTGAACTCACCAACAAGAAGGTTAACTCACCAACACGTAGGTTAACTCACCAGCACGTAGGTTTACTCATCAACAAGTAGTAGGATAGCTGACCAACAAGTAGTAGGTGAACTCACCAACAAGAACGTGAACTCACCAGCACATTGATTGCCACCTCTGTAACATCAACGAAGCACGTCCATTCTAATTCGTATCTTGAAAAGCCGTGTCATTAAGTCTTGGAGGTAGCAAACTATTTCTTTGTTCAGGTATATCACGACGTTAGAGAATAAATCATTGACAGATATGCCGCAAGAAGGAAAGAAAGCGGTAGAGGAAAAAACATGATTTTTTTTTTTAATAAGAAAGAGAGAGAGGAAATAAAGAGGAGGGGATAAAGATAGAGAGAGGGGAAGGAGAGATAGAGAGGGAGAGACAGATAGGGAGAGAGATAGATTGGGAGAGAAAAAGAGAGTGAGAGAAAGAGAGAGTGAGAAAGGGACCGGATGGAGGAAGAAAGAATAAGATTGTTCTTTTGGAAGTAGATGAAAGTTTAAAATACCGTATGCGTTATCTTTACATTTTGAAAGGACAAATAAAAGGACGAACAATTTTTTGTGTGTTTTGTTTTTGCAAACACAATATTTTGAAATTCAATTATTATATTTACAAGTAGATATTTTTAAAAAGCTCTCGGTCTTTTAACATGCCCAGTGATAATGTAACAATTTTATTGATGTTTTAACAAATTTATTTATATTGTAACATTGGTATTTATTGATATCTAGCAAAGTGTGTTGACATTTTAACAGTGGTAATTAATATTTTAACAGTGTTATTTGATACTTTAACAAGGCAATTAATATTTTAACAGTGGTAATTAATATTTTAACAGTGTTAGTTGATACTTTAACAGAGGTAATTAATATGTTAGCAGTGGTAGTTAATATTTTAAAAGTGTTAGTTGATACTTTAACAGAGGTAATTAATATTTTAGCAGTGGTAATTAATACTTTAATAGCGGCAACCAATATTTTAACAGTGCTAATCAATATTTGACCAGTGTTAATTAATACTCTAACAGTGGTCATCAACGAGGACGCGACTACTGCTGACCATTGCGAGGACCCTGCTACTGCTGAGAGTTACTGAAACTTTCCAAGATGCCGATGGACACGTCTGTCTTTCTGTGGGTGTTGACAAGCTCGATGTTCCAGGTCGAAGCATCGAAAGAAACTGAAGATAGGGATGTCAAGGAGCAGTTGGTACAAAGTGCAAACGATGGCATTAACCAAGTTTAATGCCACCCCCGGGGGGGGGGAAGATTTATACCACCCCTTCCGCTGAAAAAAACCAACCCCTGTGCCGTTGGCTGAACGTGATGCACCTCACCAAAACGGAAAAGTGCCGCATGGGATTTCCTCTCCCCCCCCCCTCCTTTTTTTTCCCTCACACGCTAATGAGTGCAAATATTATATTTGTGTGTGTGTGTGGAAGGGGGGGGGGCGTCTTTTATCACAACATATGGATGAAATGTTAAGATAATATGAGTCAAGATAATATAAGATAAGATGAGACTCTTACATCGATGTTTATATTGGACATGGATTATACTGGAGGTACCATCTTATATATGAATTTATCTTTTAATCTCAATCTGGAATCTTAATTTAAAAAAACAAAAAAAATTTAAAAACAGCAACTGTTTCTCGCAAACTCAACAAATCAAATACAACTACAAATGTTTGAAATCTTGAACTCATTTTTTTTTTATAAACAAATATTTTTTTTAACGACACGTTGTTTAAATATCTTAACATTGTGGGGTTAAAAAAATATTCAAGTGTCTGTGATTTATTTTCGGCCAAGTACCGAGGTTATATTTTTTTCCCAAGAAAAATTTTGGGGGGGGGGGGTTTGGGGGAAGGCGCCGGCAATAAAGTAACACCCGCCCCGGACGAAGCCAATCCTGGCTTAGCGTTCTCCTCAAAGGCCTTAATGACAATTTCTCTCTTTTGTTTTAAAAGACATCCACAAAATTTACGGACTTCTACGGACAAGAAATTTTAACGGCAACCCTCATGGCAAAAAAAAAAACAAAAACAAAAACGCCCCCCCCCCTTTCTTCCCACTAGCTCACAACCCATTTTTTAATCGCAATATCACAGAAAATATTCACTATTCCCCTTCTCCCCCTTTCCCCTTAAAAAAATAGACACTGCCTACGCCGATGTGGCAGATGAGACATGTAGATTATTTTAAGCGCACGCCATAATTCCCATTAAAGTTCGTTCCATAAGTTAAGGAGGTCGTAGTACGGAAAGTTACACCTTTTCAGGGGCGTGTTTTTGGTGTTGTTGTTGTTGTTTGTTGTTAGGTGAAGAGAACAGCTGGAGTAAAAGAACACAAAAGAGGGGATGACTCGCTCCAATGGCATGGGAAGGGGGGGGGGGTGGACCACAACGGGCGGCAGTTTTTGTGTGTGTGCTGATGTAAGGGGATACCTCTTCGACCAACTGCAGAGTTTTTGCATGGAAGGGGGTGGAGAAAAATCTTAGCTCTAATCTTTCCGGCACTATCTCTACCTACGCCACTGACTTTGTCGCTTTTTACACGGACGTCTTAAATTAGTGGTTGATATTTATGGCTCCAGCTAACAGATGGTACTATGAGTTATGGCTCCAGCTAATAAAAGGTACTTTGATTTACGGCTCCAGCTAACAGAAGGTACTTTGAGTTATGGCTCCAGCTAGCAGAAGGTACTGTGAGTTATGGCTCCAGCTAGCAGAAGGTACTTTGAGTTATGGCTCCAGCTAACAGAAGGTACTTTGATTTTTGAAAACAAATCTTTTTTTTTTTTTTAAAGGGTGAAGCGGATGTTACAGTATTTAACGCGTCAACTTTTCAGCGAATTTTGGATGTATCTTCCATTTCTGTCACAGCACCCATCACGACTGTCAACACACCATCCAACACCATTGTCAACACGAAACCCAAAACAAAAAAGGGATAATGCCACCAATAAATATAAAATTAATAATTGCTGCCTGGGGCGCACCGCCCTCTGCGCACCCCCCCCCTTTTCCTCGCAAACTGCCAAAACCCTCCAGGCGAAATACCTCTATGTATGGGGTGACACCGCCCGTGATCAAAACTGTAACTCTCCGTACCGTGGCCTACAATCCTTAGACTACACGTTGCAGTGATATCATTTGCCCTAGAAACAATGGATTCTACAGCGATAGGTGAATTTTAAATATAATCTGGACAGCGTGTCCTGGAACTAATGCAGTTCAATACTGAAACCTTTACATCAAAGCCACAACGAGGTTGATGAGGAAGCAAATAGCACTGATAGAGATGACTAACTCGACTTGCATTCATGTACTATGGGAAATGCACTGTATACAACGAGGTTGATGAGGAAGCAAATAGCCTTTATAGAGATGACTAACTCGACTTGTATTGATGTACTATGGGAAATGCACTGCATACAACAAGGTTCGAAGGCGCGCATCTAGAAGAAAGAATCTCTTCCGCCTCAATGGAGATGGACACCTAAACTCTTTCCAAAAGTAATCTCGGGACTGTGTTATGACATCTTCTGTTTGACAGTTTCAAACGACAGTTTCAGCACGTGGTTAGACACAATGATTGTATTGTGGTAACAACAGTGGCTTAATGCTCCTAGGAAGCGGGGGTCAAAACTTGGTCGGCTTGTTAACGTTGTTTATTACTGGGGGGGGGGGCGCCACAGTGTACATAGCAATTTAAATAAAATCGGCAAATTCAAAGGGGAGAGCAGCAAATTCAAAGGGGAGAGGGGCAAATGCACCAACCTGCCCTACCCACGTGCTGTTATTGACGGCTCAATAGACACACACCTGTGTGGTTGATAACACAAAAGAAGCCATCACGCATCGCGGTTCAAGACGATACATTCCCTTAAAATGGCCCCCCAAAAAATGCTTTTTGAAAATACGCATGCGTGTTTGTTTGTGTTTTCGGGTGTGTTTGTGTGTGTGGGTGAGACAGAGAGAGACAGACAGTGAGAGAGCTTTGTATACCCAAAAGATGGATGTTCAGAAATCTGATGAGACCATCAGCCAGTACAGCGGGAAGTCAAGGGGAAACAATAAAAACCATCCAAATTATTTGACATCATGAACGAGTAGTCGAAACGAAACAACCTGCGAAGGAACTCCACCAACAGCACAACTATATTTATACATATTTTTGGAATATAATTTTTCAATACATCAAAACAAAAAGGTGGTTGGGGGAGGGGGGGAATGTTTGGGTGTGTTTGTGTGTGTGATAAAGCAAAATACCCTTACTTGCTCCCCCACCCCTTTTCCTGCTCCGACGTCCGATAATACCATATCCGTTAGGTACGACCATAAAAGGTATCGACGCCGTTTTAGGATACGCGCCTGACACTATCGCCAGCGGTTGGGTATAAATACAGCCGTCCCATGGGCTAAAAAAAAGCTGTCTGTGTGATCAGATTGCTGCGACGTGAAGACGTGTGCTGAGTAGCCAGCCAACGGATTGCTGCTCTGTTTTGTCTTGCAGTTGTTGAAGAGGTAAGTTGTAATACATTTCATTGTTTCAGTCTGTTTTGTCTCGCAGTTGTTGAAGAGGTAAGTTGTAATACATTTCATTGTGTCAGTCTGTTTTGTCTTGCAGTTGTTGAAGAGGTAAGTTGTAATACATTTCATTGTGTCAGTCTGTTTTGTCTTGCAGTTGTTGAAGAGGTAAGTTGTAATACATTTCATTGTGTCAGTCTGTTTTGTCTTGCAGTTGTTGAAGAGGTAAGTTGTAATACATTTCATTGTGTCAGTCTGTTTTGTCTTGCAGTTGTTGAAGAGGTAAGTTGTAATACATTTCATTGTGTCAGTCGGTTCTGTCAAATGGCATCAACGTAAGAGGATATTCAAATGAATTGATAAAACAACTAAAATCTAAAAGAATACATAAGGTAAGGAAGAAAAGATTGTATTTTTATTTAGTGGCCAATGTTACCACTTATTATATATAATATATAAGTCTTATTATATTATATATTATTCTTTAGGCACACTCGATAGAATGGGCTATAGGCATACTCGATAGGAACTCTCTATAGGCATTCTCTAATGACATAATCTATAGGTTATAGGCATACTCAATAGGCACTCTCTATACTCTATAGCAGGCCTGCACAACTCAAATTGTAAGGCGGGCCGTAATACTTTATGAAAAACTTGTGCGTGCCAAAAAAATAGGAAAGGACTTTTGCGGGCTAAAAGAAAATAGGACAGAGGGAAAGCTATTAAGAAATTAATGAAAATAAAGAATATTTCGTTACTTCGCGGGCCACAAAGTAGGTGCTGGCGGGCCGCATGTTGTGCAGGCCTGCTCTATATGCATTCCTTTATGACATAATCTATAGGTTATAGGCATACTCAATAGGCACACTCAGTGGGAGCTCTTTATATGCATTATTGAATGACTAACTCAATAGATAACAGGCATAAAGTGGAACTCTTTATATGCATTCTCTAATGACTTAATCTATGGACATACTCAATAGGAACTCTCTTTAGGCATTCTCTGTGTGCGCAATCCCTATAACAGGGTTTCTCAACCTGGGCCTCTAGCACCCCAAATGGTGCGAACAGTGGCGTAGCTGGGGTTGGTGTCACCCGGTGCGGTAAATTCACGGTGACTACCCCCTCCCCCCCCCCCGCCCCCGGCCCTTTTAACTTCAAGAATGGATTTCTTCTCGTTAAAATAAGTCCACAGTATAACAAGGACAAGAACCAAAAAAAACACAAAAAACTTGAAGGTCAGGATGTAAACGTATTTCGCGTATTATGTAAGTAACAATTTTGTTGTCCTTCAGTTGTCTAAGAAGACACCAGCCTGTGCCCAAGGCATGGAGTGGATTACGTGGCTCACTGTTCTGCTGGTCCTGGTGGTGGCCGTGGTGCTGTTTGTCCGGATGATGTCCGCCAACCACAACACCTTCAAGAAGATGGGAATAGACACCCCACCGGGCGCCAACCTGTTCGGACATTTCGCGCTTGGGGTGGAGCACGGCATGTTCAAATGCCAAACCGAGTATTACAAGATGTTTAAGGACCACAAGGTGTGTAACGTTTGGTGTCGTTGTGTAACATTTAACGTCCGTGTGTATTAGTTGATGCCAGTGTGTAGCCATTAATGCTGATGTGTAGCAATTGATGCTGGTGTGTAGCAATTAATGCTGGTATGTAGCAATTGATGCTGGTGTGTAAAATTTGGTGCCAGTGTGTCACGCGTACGTAATGATAAATAGTTGCCATCTGCATTGGGCCTCACGTAAAACAAAAGAAGAAAATACGAGCAAATGATATTTAAAGGTAATTTTAAGAAAATAATGCAAAAATAATGTAACAGTGACACATTTAACCAAATATATTCCCGTCCAAAGGTGTACGGTTGGTACGACATCAGGACGCCCGTACTCATCGTCAAAGACCTGGACATGGCCAAGGACATCATGGTCAAGCATTTCAAACACTTCACCGACCGGCGGGTGCCCGTCGAGCATGACGCCCCGTTCAAGGACAATCTGCTGACCCTGAAAGGCGACAAGTGGAAACGCATCAGGAGCATCATCACCCCGACGTTCAGCTCGGGGAGGCTCAAGAAAATGGCGCCGCACGTCGAGCGCAACGCCAAACTTCTCCTGGAGAACCTGCGAAGAAAGCAGGAGAGCGGGGAGGAGATCGAGCTGCGGGACGCGTGCAGCTGCTTCGCCCTGGACGTCATCGCCAGCATCGGGTTCGGGCTGGACATCAACACGCTGGGGGATCCCAGCAACACGTTTGCCAAGGAGGCGAGGAACTGCACGAACCCCAACATCCTGCTGCTGGTCTCGCTGCTGTTTTTCCCCGAGCTGAGGAAGGTTCTGAGGGCCGTGGGGCTGGCGGTGTTCCCGAAGAAATCCATGGAGTATTTGGCCAGAGCCGTGGATGTGGCGATTGAGGGCAGGCGGCGGGACGGATCGGCTGGGAAGCTCAACGACTTCCTGGATCTCGTCATGAACGCAGAGCAAGAAGACGGAGAAGGCACAAGAGAGCCCCTTACAAGATCGGAACTCCATGTAAGTTAGCCTCACTGCGTCTCACAATTATTCAAGTGAAAAGTAAATTTAATTTTTTCGTGGTAAATTAAAAAAAAAGAAATGAAATTTTAAAAAGCATTCCAAGTATATATTATTTACCTTTTCAAAGTTAGTGAATAAAATTAGTAAAATAATAATTTCAACACTCTTATTTCATAGGGAATAAATAAAAATTTAAATATAAATTATACATTAATAATGGATTTAGTTATATTCTAAAAATCATTTTGGTACTTTGAAGTTATTAATTATAGCTGTTTAGTTTTAGAATATTTTTTCTTTGAGTAACATCCATTAAACATGTTAAATGGTATAAAAAATTCGTTCATCTCACAGTCCCTGTCAATCATGCTTATATTTGGCGGACTGGAGACCATCTCAACCGTCATGTCCTTCACCTTGTTCCTGCTGGCCGTCCACCCCGACTGCTGTCTCAGAGCGCAGAAGGAGATAGACGATAAGATCGGCAAGGAGGCCCCCAGCTACGACAACGTCCAGCAGCTGGACTATCTCGAGATGTGCCTCAGCGAGGCCATGAGGATGGCTCCCCCGGGGTTCATCCTGGACAGGCAGTGCGTGGAGGACGTCACCATTCAAGGGGTCCACATCCCCAAGGGCATGCCCGTCCTCGTCCCCATCTACGCGATCCACAACGACCCCGAGATCTGGCCGAGACCGGAGACCTTTGACCCCGAGAGGTTCACGCCGGAAAACAAGGCATCCCGGCACCCATACGCGTTTCTGCCGTTCGGACAGGGCCCGCGGAACTGCATCGGGATGAGACTCGCTCTGGTGGAGCTGAAGATCGCCCTTTCCACCGTCTTACAGAAGTTCACCCCCGTGAAGTGCAGCAAAACCGTGTACCCGTTCAACCTGAGCAAGACTCTGCTGAAGGCCAACGATGGACTCTGGGTGAAGATAGAAGCGAGAAAATAAGATGGCAGCATTTGGTGGAAATTATTAGGTCTCTCCCAGGCGTTGTATAATTTAATTGTTTCATAGCAGTGGTGACCTTTTTATGCTCCTATTTTTTTATATTTTTTTAATCCATGCTCATTAATTTTGTGTATATTCACACTGTGGGACTTTGTTGTTTAATATGTGTTTGGAAAATAATCAAGTTTGGGAAGAACGTGTGCCACATACATGCAACATACAAACGTGAAATCAATACGATTATGTGTCTCTAACAGACGTACGCACACTTAAAATCTACAAGGATTCAAATGTTCCCAAATACACAACACTGTACCACCAAGAGGAAGACTTCATTGACTGTACTACTTAATTTTAAAAAAAATGATCGGAATTGAATGATTGTGCCTGTATTTAATTTTTACCAGATTGAATGATTGTCCTGGTATTTAATTTTTATCGGATTAAATTATTGTGCCGGTAGTTGATTTTTATGAGATTGAATGATTGTGCCAGTATTTGATGTTTTTAGCATTGAATAGTTGTGCTTGAATTTAATTGTATAGGATTGAATGATTGTACCTCTGGTTAATGTTTATAGGATTGAATGATTGTGCCGGTATTTAATGTTTATAGGATTGAGTGATTGTGCAGTTAGTTAATGTTCCCAGGAGTGTATGATTGTGTCGGAGTGCATTAAATGTTCAAAGAATTGAATGATTATGTCCCGCCGTATTTGAAATCCACAGAAATGAACACTTATGTGTGTGAGGTTTACTTGACATTCATAAGATCGACGAATGAGACAATCATTCAATCATGTATTTCATTGTTCAGAATCCTATTAAATTATAAATTGCTTTTAACGGATTTGTTGAAACTTATATTTTAGCCCCACAGTTCGTTGATTGGAAAACGTTAGGGTACCTCCGCACACCCCCCCCCCCCAAACGTTATGGCATTCCTCAACTATTTCATTGTTCAGAATCCTATTAAATTATAAATTGCTTTTAACGGATTTGTTGAAACTTATATTTTAGCCCCACAGTTCGTTGATTGGAAAACGTTAGGGTACCTCCGCCCACCCCCCCCCCCCAAACGTTATGGCATTCCTCAACGTTATGGTACTCACTCACGTTATGGTACTTCCCCACGTTATGGTACTAACACACGTTATGGTACCCCCCACACGTTATGGTACCCCCCACACGTTATGATGCTCACTCACGTTATGGTACTTCCCCACGTTATGGTACTTCCCACACGTTATGGAACTCACTCACGTTATGGTACTTCCCCACGTTATGGTACCGACTAACGTTATGGTATCCCCACACGTTATGGCACTTCCCCACGTTTTGGTACTTCCCCACGTTATGGTACTAACTCACGTTATGGTACTTCCCCACGTTATGGTACTAACTCACGTTATGGTACTCCCCCACATTATGGTACTCACTAACAATATGGTATTTATTCACATTATGATACCCCCACGTTATGGTACTCACTCATATTATGGTACCCCCCCCCCGTTATGGTACTCACTCACGTTATGGTACTTTCCCACGTTATGGTACTCACTCACCTTATGGTACTTTGCCCAGTTATGGTACTGCAACACGTTNACTAACTCACGTTATGGTACTCCCCCACATTATGGTACTCACTAACAATATGGTATTTATTCACATTATGATACCCCCACGTTATGGTACTCACTCATATTATGGGACCCCCCCCCCGTTATGGTACTCACTCACGTTATGGTACTTTCCCACGTTATGGTACTCACTCACGTTATGGTACTTTGCCACGTTATGGTACTGCAACACGTTATGGTACTCACTCACGTTATGGTACTCCCCCACGTTATGGTACTCCCCCACGTTATGGTACTGCAACACGTTATGGTACTCAATTACGTTATGGTATTCCCCCACGTTATGGTACTCCCCCACGTTATGGTACTGCAACACGTTATGGTACTCAATTACGTTATGGTACTCCACTCTTGAGGCACTTCAAAACGTTATATTACTCCCCGGCTTAATGCTATCGCCCACATTATAATATACCCCAACATTATGATACACCCATACGTTATGGTACACTCCCAGTTTATGGTACACTCCTACTTTATGGTACACTTCCACTTTATGGTACACCACACTTGAGGTTACGCCCTACGCCACCTTAAAAAAAGAAAAAAACTTAAAATAATTATTTGCAATCTTCGCCTAACTTTTTAGAAACCCTTTGCCCACCCTATGGCCTAGCTAGAGTGTCTTTTTGGTGGCCCAATGGCTTAGCTAGAGTGTCTTTTTGGTGACCCAATTGCTTAGCTAGAGTGTCTTTTTGGTAACTCAATGGCCTAGCTAGAGTGCCATTTTGGTAATCCAGTGGTATAGATAGAGTGCCTTTTTGGTTACCCAATGGCCTAGCTAGAGTGTCTTTTTGGTGGCCCAATGGCTTAGCTAGAGTGTCTTTTTGGTGATCCAATTGCTTAGCCAGAGTGTCTTTTTGGTGACTCAATGGCCTAGCTAGAGTGCCATTTTGGTGACCCAGTGGTCTAGAAAGAGTGCCTTTTTGGTTACCCAATGGCCTAGCTAGAGTGTCATTTTGGGGACCCAGTGGCCTAGCTAGCGTGTCCTTTTGGATACCCAATTGCTTAGCTAGAGTGTCTTTTTGGTGACTCAATGGCCTAGCTAGAGTGCCATTTTGGTGACCCAGTGGTCTAGATAGAGTGTCTTTTTGGTTACCCAATGGCCTAGTTAGAGTGTCATTTGGGTGACCCAGTGGCCTAGCTAGCGTGTCTTTTTGGTGACCCCATTGCTTAGCTAGAGTGTCTTTTTGGTGATTCAATGGCCTAGCTAGAGTGCCATTTTGGTGACCCAGTGGTCTAGATAGAGTGCCTTTTTGGTTACCCAATGGCCTAGCTAGAGTGTCATTTTCGGGACCCAGTGGCCTAGCTAGCGTGTCTTTTTGGAGACCCAATTGCTTAGCTAGAGTGTCTTTTTGGTGACTCAATGGCCTAGCTAGAGTGCCATTTTGGTGACCCAGTGGTCTAGATACAGTGTCTTTTTGGTTACCCAATGGCCTAGCTAGAGTGTCATTTGGTGACCCAGTGGCCTAGCTAGAGTTTCTTTTTGGTGACCCAATCGCCTAGCTAGAGTGTCTTTTTGGTAACCCAATGGCTTAGCTAGAGTGTCTTTTTGGTGACCCAGTTGCTTAGTGTAACAGACCAAGTTGGCTGTGATTTTACACACGACACTATCATGTCAAATGGCGTAATAATTGTATTATAACATTGAGACTCCCGAGAAAAAGGGGGAACTATATTTTTCTAGAGCAGAGGTAGACCGCACGCTTTAGTAGAGCGGACAGTGTACCATTTTATCTGACAGTGATCAGACATCTTTTTATTCTCTCTTGAATGGATTATTGAAGCATTGAAGTATTGTGATTCAATTGTGATGTGGAATATTATATAAGAGTGATTATTACATCCTAGAATTATTGCAGGATATCCTCATAGCAAGTCTTATTTTTGCTGTAGTAATTCATATAATAGAGTACTGTACAATTTATTCACGGACGTTGACACCTCATTGTGTGAGAAGACAATTAAGTTTGAGTTAAGGAGAGAGATAATTAGTTACATTACGCAAGTGATAGCGGCAGGCCATCCATCACAATAGCAATAATTAACTATTTTAAATCTTCAATAGATTAGCATGCGTTACACTTAGCTAGAGTGTCTTTTTGGTAACTCAATGGCTTAGCTAGAGTGTCTTTTTGGTGACTTAATGGCTTAGCTAGTGTCTTTTTTTGGTGACTCTTTAGCAAAGCCCAAGTTTTTCCCAAACAGCACAACACGGATTGAGATATCGTATCCCTTGGATGACTCATTCTCATTCATCAAGTGAAATAGCGCAGAAAAAAAATGTGCAGATATATGTGCTGATGTTGCAAAGGCAAGGATTGCCAGCATTGCAGGAGCTACTGCCCTAGGTGAAGAAAATGCCACACAAAAATCTACCAGCAGTCATTGCGTTCTAGATAGACAAGCGCTAGCGTTATGCTCAGTTCACACGATCACATTTTCGTCAAATTTTCATCAAAATTTTGAATGAAAGGACTATTAGTGTGCGCGTAAAATAGTGCATTCATGCTAAACATTGACGAGAATTTGATCGTGTGGACTGAGCATTATGAAAACTGACATCTAGCTTATAGCCAGTGTTTGGTGACGCCATCAATATAATAAACTATATGAGATCCCAACCTCCAAAAAGGACGCTCATCAAACTAATGTATGAATATGTTATCTTAATAAATCTCACAGAAGATGTTTGATGAGTTTAAATTGATGTTGTTCGTGTTCTTCATTGGCCAAAAAAACCCACCAGGAACGTCATTTTGGTAGGGCATTCCCACCCCTCCCCTTTTTTCACCCTGAATTTGTAGGATTTGTTTAAATTGCTATGTACTGAGGCGCCTCTAGTAATAAACTATTTAACATTCCCATAAAATTTTGGTTCCCCCCTCCCGAAAAAAACTGAAATGATGCCCCTGGACGCCCCCCACCCCCCCTTCCTAATAAAACACCTTAAACTCAGGGGGAATAAGACGCACTCGTAGATTTCATATCTCATGGCCAACTGAAAAAATCGTAAAAAAGGTGTCAGTGACCCGCCCTGAAGCTCTAATGCCATGCCCTCCCCCAAGGGAATTCTTATTCGTGACCCTTCCCTCTCCCTAGAGGGTAGGTGCCGAGAACTGGCACCCCATAGATGTTTTGGCCCTAGTGGTGAACCATCTGGCTACCCCATAGATGTTTTGGCCCTAGTGGCGAACCATCTGGCTACCCCATAAATGTTTTGGCCCTAGTGGCGAACCATCTGGCTACCCCATAAATGTTTTGGCCCTAGTGGCGAACCATCTGGCCACCCCATTAACACAAAAGGGATAGCTTCATTTAAATTAGAACTTACATAATAAAGGTGGGGGTGGTTTTCCTACTTTGGACCACCATAGATATTCACATATAGATACAATATATTTATTAATGCAATATACACTACTTTTTAACGCTCCTTAATCAAATCAACTAACTTCATTATGAAGGGATATTTCTATTTTTTTTTACAACAATTTATCATCTTTCTTATTATTATTTTTTTTTTCAAACAAATATTTTCAGAAACTTTTCGAAACTATCATGCTCACCGATATGTCCTGGCTTCAAAGCAAACCTTAAGTCCTCGCACTTGTCTTTACATTCATCGGCTGGGAAAAGATACATCTTCGCGGAGCCTTGACCTTGAGTGTAAAGAACTCTCGTCTTTTCATTGAAATACTATGAGGCGAAATTGTAGGCATACAGTTTATTTTAGTAATTTAAAATGTTTGTTCACAGTAAAATAACTATACAAATTAAATACACGTTTTTCTCTTAGAGTATAGTAAATGATATGAAGCAATAATAGGTCCAGTAAGAGTAAAGTAGCATGTCTAGTAAGTCGAAGATGGAGCTGGCATCAAACTACTGGTTCTCTCTCTCTCACCAATTCAGGAAATAAAATGTGTGGATGTCTCATGAAATTTTCTGTTGTGCTATTAAATGTCCGAATTGCCAGAGAATTTAGCAGTTTCTGGAAACGTAAGAGAGTGCCAGTATGTCAATGATTGTCCCGGATGTCAGGTAAATCTACAAGATGTCAGGCAATGTCGGCGATCTCAGAAAATGTCCACAATGTCGGGAAATCTTTATGACGTCGGGAAATGTCTATGATGTAAGGAAAGGTCAGGAAATGTCCAATATGTGAGAAAATATCTGTAATTTCAGGAATGGTTTCCAGAAAGTAATTAAGAACCGGTTCTTATTAAGGATGTTCTACACTCTTGAGGAAAGTATATAGTAATTTAAAAATAATATTCGATACCCGATTCCCCACAGGTCCAATACATGCCATGTCACAGGGCGCAGCAAGTCAAGAGGAGCATATACAGAAGAAATAACAACTAAAGATTCACAAAATGTTCAGCATTATTTTGGAAATGCCACTTCAAGTGATGTAGTGGATTTGAAATACAAATTGAATGTGCTTCAAAGAATATAATTTGTTTATAGAGTGAAGTTTTTATGTTTAAAAAAAAACCCAACCTAACAATTTTACAATATAAATTAGAAATTATAAAAAAACGTTTTCGGGGTAGGGGGCACATACTAAGGGACAGAAATGTGCAAATCTGGCCTTGATAATAGTCCAGGGACTGCGTTCAGGCCGTGTGAAGGAAATGGTAGCACAAGATAGGAGTAAGCTTGATTTAAAAAAAAAAAAACAACAATAGAACAATCAAATGAACGTGTTGGCTAGATCACCTCCATCAGCAGACAAGACAAGAATCAACACAAAAATGAGCACTTTAAAGACATGTGCTTGATTTAAAAAAAAAAAAAACAACAATAGAACAATCAAATGAACGTGTTGGCTAGATCACCTCCATCAGCAGACAAGACAAGAATCAACACAAAAATGAGCACTTTAAAGACATGGCGTGGGGGGGGGGGAGGGAGGGGGGCGACCATAATTGAGTTTTACCTTTGCAAATATAGCTCCCTTATTTAAAATGATGAGTGTCATGTTTAGGGAAGTAAAACCGTTTGAGGAAATGTGTGGCGTTATTGGAAATAAATTTCGGAGCAGTTCTTTAGACTTCGGATTGTCCGGAATCCTGAAATGATAGGCGTGTCAACAAAGATTGGTAGTGAAATAATGATGGGCGTGTCAACAAAGATTGGTACTGAAATAATGATGGGCGTGTCAACAAAGATTGGTACTGAAATACTGATGGGCGTGTCAACAAAGATTGGTACTGAAATAATGATGGGCGTGTCAACAAAGCTTGGTATTGAAATAATGATGGGCGTGTCAACAAAGATTGGTATTGAAATAATGATGGGCGTGTCAACAAAGATTGGTATTGAAATAATGATGGGTGTGTCAACAAAGATTGGTATTGAAATAATGATGGGCGTGTCAACAAAGATGGCTACTGAAATAATGATGGGCGTTTCAACAAAGATTAGTACTTGGTAATTTAATTAGTTCATTTAAAGTAGTTCATTCAATAAGTTAATTTAGTTTTTCATTTTACATTAGTTCATTCAATAAGTTCATCTAATTTTTTCATTTACATTGGTTCATTTAAATAAGTTAATTCAATAATTTAGGTAAATTAGTTCGTTTAATTAGTTCATTTAATTAGTTCATTTCACTAGTTCAATTAATTAGTTCATTTGCATAGTTCATTCAAATAGTTCATTTACTTGGTGTATTCAATAAGTTCATTTACTTAGTTCAATTATATAATCATTAAATAAGTTCAGTTAATTAGTTCATGTACATTAGTTCATTTACATTAGTTCATTCAATAAGTTCGTTTAATTAGTTTATTTAGTTAGTTTATTTACATATTTCATTTAATTAGTTCATTTAATTTGTTCATTTACATAGTTCATTTTCATTTACAGATTTCATTTACATAGTTCAATCACATTAGTTTAATCACATTAGTTCAATCATATTAGTTCAATCACATTAATTCAATTGCATTAGTTTAATCACGTTACTTCAATCACATTACTTCAATTCTAATAGTTTATTATCCATGGGAAAAGATAGCTTTACCACTTTTTAAATGAAGTCTTTCATTTCAGTAATCTTACCACACTACCCTGGCATCCTTCTGGCTGGTCAGTTGATTGATGTTTGACCAGTCAGCCAGGTCATTGATGTGTTGGATGGCCAGCACATTGGACATCATCTCACTTCCCAGAGAGGAAGCCAACAGCTGGTGGTTATCGGCTATGGCCTGTTGCAGCTTGGCCAGCGTTACTCTGGCAAAGGTGGTCTGCGACAACAAGACAAAATGTGGCCAAATCATTTTATTGAAGAGATGTAATCTGGGAAAGAAGTAAAAGAAGTAAATCGCGGTTTGTTGGGGGGGGGGGGGGGGTGGCGTATATTTTAAAAATTAGTTTTTGGGTTGGGCTTGCATGAAGTAGGATTTTGGGGTTAGTGGTAGTAATGAACAATGCAATGAAGTATGTTTTTGGGTTTGGGATACTAATGAACAATGCATGAAGTATGCTTTTCGGGTTGGGGGTAGTAAAGAACAATGCATGAAGTAGGCTTTTAGGGTTGTGTTACTTGTGTAGTCATGGAAAATGCAATGAAGTATGTGTTTGGGGTGGGAGTAGTAATGAACAATGCAATGAAGTATACTTTCGGGGGTGAGAGTAGTAATTAACAATGCAATGAACTATGTTTTTGGGGTTGGGGGTAGTAATGAATAAGGCATGAAGTTAGCTTCTGGGGTAGTGATGAGCAACGCATACCCTTTTCAGGGTTGGGGATAGTAATGAACATAAACTAATGCAAATGAACTTTGGTGTATTTATTTGCAATAACAAAGGAGATCTCTAAAGTTTTTTTCACTGTGCCTCAATTATATAATCATGGAAGTGCCTCAGTTATTTAATCATGGAAGTGCCTCAGTTATTTAATCATGGAAGTGCCTCAGTTATTTAATCATAGAAGTGCCTCAGTTATTTAATCATGGAAGTGCTTCAGTTATATGATCATGGAAGTGCTTCAGTTATATGATCATGGAAGTGCTTCAGTTATATGATCATGGAAGTGCCTCAGTTATTTAATCATGGAAGTGCTTCAGTTATATAATCATGGAAGTGCTTCAGTTATATGACCATGGAAGTGCCTCAGTTATATGACCATGGAAGTGCCTCAGTTATATAATCATGGAAGTGCCTCAGTTAAGTAATCATAGAAGTGCTTCAGTTATATAATCATGGAAGTGCTTCAGTTATATAATCATGGAAGTTCCTCAGTTATATAATCATGGAAGTGCCCCAGTTCACTCTTGAGATAATTATTAACATCATGTTGATACGCTTTAATTAACATATCTACTGCTTGACGTTATGTTAAAAGAATTGAGTGCGACGAAAAAAAGAACCTAGATTCTGGAGACAAAAGCCCAGAAATATAGACAAGAAAACCTGATGATAAAAACATAGGAGTGGCACCACTGGACAGGGCGGTTAACGATTGGTATTGAGACCCAGATAAAGTATCCTAATTAGATTTAGAGGTTGACCAACGGCCGCTGTTGCTCAACTTTAAATAAAGGATGCCGGCTTTTAGGCCATGAAATTAAATAAGGATAAACCTGCTAAATTTTAATTTTAAGGGAACGAAATATGAAAAAATGGGTTAAACAATAGAACACAAAAAAAAAAATAAAAAAATAGAACGAATTAAAGCATGAAAAAGATAGTTTAAAATATTTTATTTTAGGCCCAGGTAGATTGTGAGGCCCTATTTTATGGGCCTATTTAGCTAATAGGTAAATCCGGCACTGATGTGAGGTACCTTTTTGAGGTGTCTGTGTTAGATATCTTTAAAAGGTCTGCACTTGGGTCGGTGGGACATACCTTTGCAACGTGTGGACGTGGGTCAGACTGAGAGTCTGTGAGCACGATTCTCTGTTCAACCTTCAGTTTAGTGACGTTGTGAGCTCCAAGGCAGCCCCGACAAACCCAGTCAAGGCTAAAGAGCGGATTCGGTATGATGCAGTTCTCTACAGGGACGTGTGTACATCGCAGAAAATGATACTTAATGGTTTAATGTGATACAATGGAATTTAAAATAAATGATGTGGTGTAGTGTAATATGGAGGATACAAAAAAAAAATTCAATTTGAAGCATGCGTTTGTTTTCGGAAAGCATTTAAAAAAAAAAAAATTAAAACTTTAAAATTGAAAAGCTAGAAATGTTTTACGGTTTGCTTTGGTAGAAAGACATCAAAGAAAAGCTTCGTAATGAATAATTTTTTAAAAGTTAAACAACTTTTGAAACAAGATTTTTGTGTTTTTTTTATGTCGTTGATATGTTTCTGGAAATCTCGAATAGATATGTCTATATGTCTATTTCAATGTTTGGGACATATGAGATTTATGCGCTAATATTTTTTTAACAATCTAAAATATTAGATCAATTTTTATGTTTAGAATTGTCACAGATAAGAATATGTGAGTTACTTATAGGAGACAAGTAATATGGTTAATATTTTTTCGTGTAATATACATAATGTTGGGACTTGGGGGGGGGGGGACTGGCCAATCAGAGTTTTCGGTTCGATAATGTCGTTAGTTTTAGGATAGAGAGGAGAACGGCGGAATGAACATCGACGGTTGACATTGTATTGGCATCAAGATTTTCAAGTGAAAGTAGAAGAAGACTATCTTATGTATGATTAAATAGCAATTGAAATTCGTGTTACGTCATTCCAAGTATCTTCATATTTTTGTGAAACGTAATTAATATTGTGACTGTCGATATTTTAAAAATCAGTCACTGTTTGAGCCCACATCGCCTCGGGTATTATTTATCACGAAATAGAACAGTGACAAGAATAGAAACAACATGTTCACCATTTCCTGAATTTTCGTTAAAAGACTAAAACAAGTTATTCACAAACGATTTATTTATATTTTTTTTAAAAGCCTGATCAACCTACCAATTAAACTTGTATTCTTATGTAATAAATTCATAGCGCGCAACAATTTTCGACAATGCCTGATCAATTGGTAGGGGAGCTCTCTCAGCGTATTCATGGAGTCTTCAGCATGGTAGATGAAATCGTCCACCAAAACCACACCCGTCACCGCAAGAAGGCAAACGAACGCGCCCCACATCAGGACAGTTTTCCTCCCCTCACCGCTGTTGCCACGGGGACGGTGAGGTGAAAAGCGTTCCGCCCCGCGAACAGAAGTTTTGAGCCCGGCGACATTCAGAGACCTATTGAACAGAAACGTATCGGTGAGGCCAAATCTCGGACGGGTCTTCGGGTTTTCCCTCTCAGTACGTCCTCCCTCTGCAGGCTCTTCGTACCCGTTCTTATCACCTTCATGGGCTTGACCTCCTTCATGGGCTTGACCTATGAATGTCGTCTCATCACCTCCATGGACTGAACCTGTTTGCTCAATCCCATCGCCTTCATGGACTTGACCTTTCTGTGCAGCCTCATTACTTTCGTGGACTTGACCCGTTAGTGTAGCCTCATTACCTTCGTGGACTCGACCTTCCAGGGAAGATTCATTACCTTCATGGGATCGTTCTCTACGGTCACTGATTTGGTCCCATTTGTCATTCTTTCTGTTCGTCAAAGTAGATTTCGCCAGCTTTAAAACGGTTTCCCATTTGTCCTGATGCGTGTCCTTGAACGTGTCCAGGTCGCCAAGCCAAGCATCCATTGTTGTTGGTTTGAAGGAAGGTCCTAGCAGCAGAGTCGAGTCATGGCTAGAGGGTGACGCATCTGATTCAGAAATAATCGATTATCTTTTTGTTTTGTTTAAATAACTGACGTGGCGATTCTGTTTAAATAAAAGTTCGCAGATTTTTGCAGAGGCGTACCACTTGGTGGGGAAACTCTCAGAAGTGCTACCCCAACACACCAACAAACAAATTTCAAACTATTTTAAATATAAATCCCAAAGTCAGTGGGGCTGGAAGGGGGCTTAGGGGGGCGAGAAGCCCCAGGTAGCACTTTTTTGTAATATACGGGACGGGGGGGTCACTTCCAGGCGAACTGCAGTGTTTAACCTAGGAAGGGAGGTACCACAATTTCTCGGCCCACCTCGGGGGGCACTTACCCAAGCTACGCCACTGCCCAAACTGCCCCCAACCCCCACCCCTTAAGCATCTCCCTAGGTTAGCCACTCAATTCAAGTCATATCTGTAGGTTACAAGTATCGAAGTTTAAATAATCGATTCTTATTAATTTACACATGACTGTGACAGTGGTGGTCTAGTTTACACTTCTTAACATTACAACAGATGGTTGTTGAATATTTTGTAATTAGAGTTTTTATTCGTTGCAAACACTTCGGTTGTTGTTTTCAAATATGTTGTTTTATTAAAAGGGCTCTATAAAAAACTTAAAGTTTGTGCTATTATGATGTTTGATGTTAAAAAATCAACTCACCAAATATTGATTGTATATTATGTTGAGCTAGATAGTGGCCGTGCGCAGATGAAAATTATGTTCTTCCGAACTTTTTAAATTCATAAGTTGGCTTTATGTAAAGTGTTCATAGCAGAGGTGTAGCTAAGGGGGTGGGGTGGGTAGGTAGGGGGCAATGCGTGATCTTCCCATCGGCTAAAGTTACATGACAGAACATGCACTCAAGTCAGGGCCGGCTTAACGACATAGTAGGCCCTGGGCACAGCAATTCACTGGGGCCCTCTAGCAACACAACACACCTGGGCCGTGAGAAGGGGGGGGGGCACTCGCCCCATGTTCAAACAGTTGGGGGGGGGCAAACAGTTCCTGCTCCCCACCAACTGGGAAAGTGGGAATTTTTAAATCTAATTAAATTGTCAAAATCTTTCAATATTCCTTAACAATATGTTAAGCATTAGAGTGAGTCTCCTAGAAAGGGGGGGGGGGGCTCCCTACGAGCGCGGCGCCCTGGGCCAGTTCCCCCTAGGCCCCATACCTTAAGACGGCACTGACTCAAGTAACGTACTTTATTAATAATCTCAATGGGAGCCCCCCCCCCCCTAGGGGGGGGGGGCTCCCTCCGAGCGCGGCGCCCCGGGCCAGTTCCCACTAGGCCCCATACCTTAAGACGGCACTGACTCAAGTAACGTACTTTATTAATAATCTCAATGAGTGCCCCCCCCCCCCCAATTCACACACACTGTACCCAGATTCTCAACCACACACTTTTTTCACGCCCCTGAACTATATAAATATCATTGTGACGCGCTCCCCTTTTTTAAACCGTAGATTTTCTAACACCATATTGAAAATGAGACCATCTGTTTATGTTTGCTGACATTGACATATTAAATGTCGTTACCATCAATGCTAAGGTGTTTAGGAAGCGATTATTGAGAGGCGAGGAGTGGGTCGTGGGGGGGGGGAGGGGGGCGTGGCTTGTTGTTTTGTGTTGGCGTGGCTTGTTGTTAGTGTGTGGGCATGGCTTGTTGGTTTTTGTGTGGGCGTGACTTGTTATTTTTGGTGGGGCGTTACTTGTTGAGTGGTGGACGCCAACCCACCCCCCCCCCCCCAACTAGACCATCGCCTTGTGGGATACCAGTCATGGTGTTGGTGTTAAATGCGTTTGTTCAGTATGAATATTAGTAAAACAAAAATGTACAGTTAACCTTTTTTAATTTTTTGTTAGAACACTGTTGTTGACTATTCAATACTGAAAACAATTATGCTAATGCTAACAAACTATTTCCCATTTGTCAGCACATTAAGTTATCAAATCCTGTGACTTTTCACAAGACGAATTTTAGTATAGAGTAAAGAGTCGAATCATTATTTGTTGGGTTTTAGTTTATGTAATTCCGTTTCTCGTGAGCTCGGCGTGGCTGTGCTGGAGGTGGTGGGGGCGGGGGGGGGGGGGGGGGGGCGTGTTCTGTGCGGGCGTGCCTTGTTATTTCTGGGTATTGTTGTACAAGTTTACCGATAACTCTATTAATACAAAGTATTAAGGACCTCAATTTGGTCACTGGTAATAACGGGGGAGGGGGGCTTGTTCTGTGCGGGCGTGCCTTGTTATTTCTGGGCGTGTTTTGGTAATTGTGAGAGGGAGTGCCTCGACTTACATGTGGGCGTGGCTTAAATGGTGGATATTTACTTTAAACTTGTGTTTCATTATCTCGATGCGTCTGCTCAGGCTTTTGTCTGCCCCTGCCTTAGTCTTAGTTATTTGGAGTAGGTCCTAGTTATTTGGAGTAGGTCCTAGTTATTTGGAGTAGGTCCTAGTTATTTGGAGTAGATCCTAATTATTTGGAGTAGGTCCTAGTTATTTGGAGTAGGTCCCTAGATATTTGGAGTAGGTCCTGGTTATTTGGAGTAGGTCCTAGTTATTTGGAGTAGGTCCTAGTGAATGGTAGTAGGTCCTAGGTATTTGAAGCAGGGTCTATTTATTTTTACTAGGTCCTAGTGAATGGTAGTAGGTCCTAGTTATTTGGAGTAGGCCCTAGTTATTTGTATTAGGTCCTAGTTCATTGAATTAGATCCTAGTTATTTGTATTAGGTCCTAGTTATTTGTATTAGGTCCTAATTATTTGAATTAGGTGCTAGTTATTTGTATTAAGTCCTAGTTATTTGTATTAGGTCCTAGTTATTTTTATTAGGTCCTAGTTATTTGTATTAGGTCCTAATTATTTGAATTAGGTGCTTGTTATTTGTATTAGGTCCTAATTATTTGAATTAGGTGCTAGTTATTTGTATTAGTTCCTAGTTATTTGTAGTAGTTCCTAGTTATTTGTAGTAGTTCCTAGTAATTTGTAGTAGTCGCTAGTTATTTGTAGTAGTAGTAGGTCCTAGTTATTTGTAGTAGTAGTAGATCCTTGTTATTTGTAGTAGGCCTATTAGTTGTATTTTTTTAAATTCAATTCGTGTTTGATATTTAAAACAAATTCATTTAGTTTCTATGTCTTTTTTTAAAGAAGGAAACAATTATTA